GTAAGTGGGCTTAGATGAAACAAAATATTGACTTAAATCATGTTAGGAACTCTGTATTTTTAGGAAGGTTCGTTTTGTCTCATACGCGTAGAGCCTCAGGCGTTAGTTTTCACGCGAGGGGCAGATAGTGACCGGCGGAGACAGCTGGGCAGCGAAAAGTCCCGAAAACTGTTACCTATATCTGCACGTGCACGTGTAACGCGCATTTGCATGCGTAAGTGCAAACATGGTACTCAAAGTTGCAGCGAAGATTTTTTTGTTTTAATTAAGCCATTTTTTGTTGATGATGCCTCTTAAAAATGCAGATTTTGTTTTTTTTTTGGAAATAGACGGGTTAGACCATTGTACATTGTTTTGGGCTTTTTCGGATTCTTTCTATATCTTTCAGCTAACGACCTTACTGTGAAAGCTATGAAAAGATCGCCCACAAAATTAAGAACAATCTCTAAAATTTTCAAAATGAAGCTTATTAGTACTATGCTTATCTATCAATGTATTGCTTTAAGCAGGTCTTATCCCTGGTAGGGCGCATAGTATAGACCAGTGTCCGCGCCATTTCCAGGGCGCCGCCATGTTTATCTACGCTCGCGCCACCACGCGGAGAGAACTGGCAGGCAGGAGGGGGGGGCTGCGTTGGCGGCGTTGCTTTGGGGAGTTGGATGCGGCAGGCTGTCCGAATGCACCGGCACATCGTGAAAGATGTCTTCACCAGAAGCCTCCGCGGCCCGTTCTTCAACAGATAAGATGTCGTGAACATTCGAGAACCCATCTCGATCGAGAAAACAAGAGAAAACCTTTCTTGTCTTAGATGTTCTCGGTGTCTGCTGACCCTTGACATCCGCGTTTCAGTCCGGGTTCATTGCGTAGCAAATATTTCGCTGCCGCTTTCTTGTAGCTTTCAAATGCTTGATTGTCGGCTTCTTGTATACGACATTACATTCGTGGCACGGTTGAGACCGATTTTCGCGATCTGCTTGCCTTTCTGCGGCTCTGCCGAGCCGAAATAAGTCGGAGGCGTTTACTTGATCGAACGCCGTTTTAGCGAATGAAAACGAGACCACGACGTTTCGTCGAATGACTAGCGAATGGGTCTTGTTCCATAGACAGCTCGGATTAGCTTTCTTTTGTAATATGCCGCTTTGTCTGCCGCCGCGAAGCGGCGAAAACGAGGGCTCCGAGTGTGTTAGCACGCCCCCCCCCCCCCCCCACCCACACACACGCTGCGAGCGTCTGGGTTCAAAACTATTAATTGCCAGCTCTAAAGGATGGTACTTACTTGAAGTGGGAGCTGGAATTCTACGAGGTACCAGGAGACACTTACTATCGGGCACCGAAGCACGGTGCCTGTGGGGACGGAGTCTAGGAACGCTACTGATTAATATTGTGACAGGCGATCAGTTATGATAACAGACGAAACTTCGACTCGTTTGTTCAGAAGTTCGCGGTGATATTTTATTAGCCCTCGTTCTAGCACACCAAGGATGGTCCAAGGATCTTAGGCAGTGAAATTCACATCACGCAGGCTCGTCCGTCGTAGTCGTCGCAGTCGACGACGAAATGTAATGAGCTACTAAGCTTCACAAGGTAAATGCCCGCGAGAAAGAGTTTTGTGGCAGTCCAAAACACCGATCCAGCAGACGCACGTACGTACGTTTACTCCGGACTCCATGAACCCGACGGCGCAAGATCAAAGCGATCAAAGAGCACCGCCGCCATCGCCACCCGGTTTTCTCTGCACTTCGCGCGACAACGGCACTGCAACGGAGGGCACTCACCTCGGCGTTAACAATCTGCGAAATAGATTAATTTCCCACTCTTGAAGCCATTCCAAATGATAAATGAAAATATCTCGGCGTTGTAGAACATCTGACGACACAACTGTGCCGAGCGCCTGCTCGGCGTCGTAGTAGCTCGTGCAGGCCTGCTTATTTGTAGTTGAGACGATGATTCCACATCTTTCGTGCCACTCGTGGTGCCTGCGATAACCTCGAAGGGCAGGCGAATCTTCTCACGAGGACGTTGAAGACACTCAACGCCGGAGCCACCAAAGCAATCGCACAAACCGTCGCCATGTTTGCTTCTTCGTCACTCGCGGCGCGATCAACTCGTCGCGAGATGTTTTCTGGCTCGGCTAGATGGAAACCAACAGCGGCAAAGTGGCGTATGGTCACACGGCTCTCACATTACGGGCACTACACTCACATACCGCGGTAAACAGGACCGATGCCGGCGAAACGGCAGTCGGCACACCAGCGAAGAAGCCTTCAACGGGAAGCGGCGGTGCAGGCCGACGCAGCCCCCCCTCCCCGTGAGCGTCTGGGCAGTCTGGGTTCGAGATTATTGTTCGCTTTTGCTCCTTGCGGTCGAGGCTAAAAAGAGCACTTCCGGACAAAGGTCTATACAAGGTAATATATATATATATATCGCTAAATCAACAAATTGCGGAACGATGGAAGGTACGCGAAGCATTTTACGGCTTTATGAAAAACAGCACAAATTCGACGGGTTTTTAAGTTTCGGTTTGCTATTGGAGCGCATCTGGGCCCATGCGGCACCGCGCCCTGTGGAGAGATAGTGCAGCCAGACTCTGCTGCGTCGCACGATGCGCAGCAGAGGTTTGTTGCACTATCTCTCCACGGGCCGCGGTGCCGCATGGGCCCAGATGCGCCCTGATAGCAAACCGAAACTTAAAAACCCGTAGAATTTGTGCTGTTTTTCAGAAAGCCGTAAAATGCTTCGGGTGCTTTCTATCGTTCTGCAATTTGTTGATTTAGCGTTTTTCGACGATGTTGAGCAATTTTCTAATTGCAACCATGCCCTTAGACACAATATTAAAAAAGTTAATTACGCAAAAATAATTAACAACTTAATTATCTCGGACTCTAATGATTTTCGTAAATGGGCCCCTGGCCCCGGACCAAAACGACACAAGCTTTTTTTTCGTTGCGATGAGTAGTTTTTGTAGGGTCGATTTGGCCTGACTTTTCTGAAACACCCCGTATATATAACATCCTTAATGCACGGCTTGTGAAAACACATCGGGAGTAACGACCCATCAATAGTGAAGGGAAAACACCGACATGGGTAAAGAAAAAAAAACAACAAGAACCTAAATGGCGAAGTTGAAACGAGTATATGACTGTTTGACAATCAAAATAATTTTGAACATTTAGTTGCTGAGGTTTGCAAGATGTGCGTTTCGTCGGAAACTTCTTTCAGTATACGAGGGGGGAGCCAAAGGTAGCCGGAGTTATTTTCTGGAGGGCGGGCTACTTGTAGTACAACTCCCTCCCTCTAGATGTGTTTTTCGGGGACCCGCCTACATCAAACTAGCTGTTGGCCTTCCTATGAGGCGCTGCATTTGGCTTCACTGGACTGGTTTTGGAGTCTCTTTCAAAGCGTTTGCCTATTTAGTGATAGGTGATTTATACGAACAACGTACATCAGTGCAATTCTGATTCCTGTAGACCAAGAATACGGCAGAAACGGTTGTAATGTTAGAGACAGTTTACTAACAAGTTGCTCTGAGAAAAATGCAAGTGTACGATTGGCTTTCACGTTTGAAACAAGGTGAATTGTCGCCTCATGATTACCTCCGTTCAAGGCGTCCTTTGACCAGCCGAACTGAAGAGACTGTGGCGTTCCGTGCTTTGAAGGAGCAGATACTAAAGTACGCTATTTTATTTCAAAGTCATCACCTAGGATGAGTGTAAATGGTGTCGTCACCACGTGCCGCTTTCGTGGCATCGAGCCGCGAGCCATATACCAGACCGAGTGTACATGAAGGACGATAAAGTATGATTCTATTTTCTCCGCAAGCCGACATAACTGCTCTGTCTCGTCGCTCTTAACACATGATGTCAGAAGTGGCCGTTGTCTGTCCACAAGACTTTCTACTCTGTCCACGCGACTTTCTACAACAGACTACCAACCCATACCAAGCGCGATGACAAAAAACCCAGCACGTCATTCCAGCACGCCCAGCAGGTCAACCCAACACGGCATCCCGGAAGCTATGGTGGCACTGCTGCCGCCGCCATGACCCCCGGATTCTGGCGGGGACATCTGGCAAAACTGGAAAACCTGGGAAAGTGAGTTCAAGCTTTTTTCCACGGCTACGTGTTAAGAGTCTCTTAGCGCCACCAGAAAGCATAGTGGCAGAAAACAATGCCAATAAAAGAAAAAGAAGTAGTGTGATGCAGACCGTCAACAGGTTCAGTCGTGTGTTCTTTTCTTCCCACACTTTTTACAAAATGGCGACGAGGTAAACAGAAGACTATGCCGACGTTCGGCAGGACCGAACCTTTCGAGGGGGAGGCGACGAATGGCCTGCATACGTGGAACGACTTCACTAATTCTTCATTGCCAACGATGTTCCTGCTGCAAAGACGAGTTCCATTGTCCTGAGCTGCTGCGACCCGAGTACTTACTTTTTGCTTCGGAACCTGGTGAAGCCGCAGGCACCCCAAGACAAGACCCTCAGCGAGATTCTGGCCATTCTCGGCAAGCATTACGCCCCTACGCCGTTCTCCGTGGTTCAGCGCTTCCGCTTAATTCTAGGGTTTGCTCCGAAACTGAATCTGTCAGTGACTTCATCGCAGCGCTGAAGAGCTCATCGGAGCACTGTGACTACGCTCCTGAGCTGAAGAAAATGCTACGAGACAGACTAGTTTGCGGTATAAACGACGCCGTGATTAAGACTCGACCTCTTGAAATTCCGGACCTCACCTTCGAGGTTGCTGTTCAAACTGCACGGGCCATGGAATCTGCAAAAAAAAAAGATGCTGCTGAGCTCTGTCAAGCTCAAGCTAGTACAAGCGTTCTTTCCACGCACAAGGTAATGTAAGCGGCAAAAGGCACATCGTGTTATCGCTGCGGAGACAAAAGCCACCTGGCATCTCAGTGCCGACACATCCATTCTACGTGTCACTACTGTCACAAGCGAGGGCACCTTTCTGTTGTGTGCAACTCGAAGAAGAGTGGGAACCCACCCAATGCAA